AAACTCACTATATAGCCTAAGTTAGCATTGAACTCAGCAATTTTCCTACCTCAGACCTGATGCCATGTTTGGTCAGCTATGCAAGAAAAAAAATAGTGGTTTAAATTATCCACATTGTCTTCTACATAATGCCCAGGTAAATTAAATTAGCATTTTTATTTATGCCCAAGTCACAAATTATCATTCAAGGCCAACAATGTGTTGGCTTTTACTGAGGTTGGATTAATTGCCTCATTTGCTCACTGAATCATACTGTTACTTTATTATCTACTACTATTAGGTAATAGATACGTTTCCTATTTCCAGAAGACCACAAGAAACCTTTTATATTTAGCTTAGCAACTCAGATTTGCAGACATCAAACAAATATATTAAGTCATATGATACAAAAGTGATTCGGGTTTCCTGCCATATTATTATCCTCTATTCTTGCCCTTTTGAGCATTGATATCGGGTTGTCCTTAACCTGCCTTTCTCTGAATATTTCCTTCTGCTCCTCACTGTGCATACAGTAACTGCTGGTGTTCGTTGCTCTTACCTACGAATCGCATACTGCACCTCAGCCATTACCACCTCATATGTATGCGGTGACTTCCTCAGATGTGTGCTGAAGCCATCTGTCTAGGATGTCCTTCTGCCCTTGATCGCAAATGTCACACTCTTCCTGACTCCTTTTGTGTTGGGCATTTTCTGTACCTCCTGGGAATCATGACTGCAGAAAGGCCTATGGTTTGGGTCATCCATTTGTTTTGCTGTCTATCACAGCCATGACATCTCTTCCATAGGATCTGTGTCACATGCTCCCCTCTTCTACAGAGCTCATCATTTTCCAGCTGGGGATTATCAGTTCCATCCCCAGCTCTTTCACAGTGTTTGTTTGTTTCATGTTTACTACATCAATCCCGTACAGAAGGGCATTCTGCTGGATTATATGTTTGGCGGTTTTAGCCCTATTTGTTCTGTTTTTACTGCACTGTTTATACTTTAGAGACAAAGATTCCTATCTTTGGATTCCTTCCTCTCATGGAGAGGTTTCAGTTGTTTGTAAAATGAATTTACTCAATTGCTCTGAATGAGAGCATCCTACAAACTGAACTCTGCAAAAGTTTTGCAAATTCATTCTTTGGGGGATAATTTTTATTCTAAGAAACTAGTGTGGTTTGTGGTTTGGAGTCATGGTTTAAGCTGCCCTTACGAAGAATGAAAAGCAGCTGGTGTCCAAAGCACCCTGGGAATTAGTCAAGAAGCTAACTGAAGAAAGGAATCCAAGAGTGCAAAGGTTTCTTTGCACATTTTATGTTCTATTTGCACTGTGGCTCATGTAAGAAGACTCTGTTTTAGAACACTAAATATTGCGCACAAGGTGTGTTTTGCTAAAGTCACAGGTACTATATAAAAATAGTTATGACCAATTTGTGACTGTAAATCTTAGTGCTCAAATTTCTTTTGTTTCATTTAATTTTACATAATCTAAGATAATTACTTAATGAATCTAATTTTAAGAGGTTCTAAAGAATTTATAAAATATTTATTTTATTTCAAAGGTGTTGGATGAAATATTGTGATAGAAAATATTAAATGTATTTATAATGGTATCAAAATTAATGCTGTTTATAAACATATAACAGAAAGTTAGCAATAGTGCACTGATGACTTTTTGTCAAGTTTGGCTCTGATGAGAACAACACTATAGACATAGAGGGCTCAGAAGTCAGAGCAGTTCAAAGGAAACCTCAGGTGCACATGGCTGTGGGTATGAAAATGTCCTTAAAGAGGCTGGCATTCAAATATAAAAAACATGAAGAACTGGATAAATGAATTAGTGAAGGAGGAGAACTTGACTGGAGAGAGCCTGGACAAAAGGCTCACAGCATTGTAGAGTAAAGGAACTACAAGGCAGTCTAGTGCAATTAGAGAAAGCACTGAGCCTGAACTATCTCTCTATGAAGATTTCCAGAATAGCAACACACAGGAGAGGATAATTTGAGCATGCAGCTAATGACTCAGAGAGCAAGTATTTGTTTTGTAGTATAATAAACAAGCCAAGAGTTTCTGAGGTGTACAGTACAGGTTGGGAACTGATCTGGCTTCCCAGCTGATGTCAGTTCAAGTCAGTATTGAGTCAGTCACAGTCAAGGTGACAGACTCCCACTGAGACCCACATTTTCCACATTTTCACTTAGCTTGAAAGTCGAGTCACTCCAAGTACCTGCACTGTCTTACAAACTACATATTAATACATGCCTGCCACTGAATGTCACTAAAAGGGACACAGGTAAAGCATTTTCACTATTGGATTGAACCATATAATCATGAAAGTGAAGATACTTTTAAATTTTTCAACTTTCTCTTCCTCTAGTCCATTGCCTTGCTCTTTCCTCTGTGACTTCCTTCAACTGTGAACAGGTATTCTCTTCCACCTGTACCCAGGCCATACTCTACAACAACCCCAGTGAGTATACAATCCTGGACTCAAGCTTTATCTTCTTGACCTCATTACTTTCTAGACTGCTCCAGTTGATTCATTTATCCAGTTTGCTGTTTCATTGCTACCCAGGGGCCAAGGAGCATTGTTGCTTTTGTTCATGAATGTGTGCTAGGAACTTAGAATAGTTCCAGTGTACAGAAGATGCTAAGTAAATGGTGAATACATAGATTTTAAGACACAGATTTTCAAATAGTCCCTGCTTTGCTTTATAGAGCATAATATTTTGCCTATGGTTTTTAACTGTATTCTTTGAACTAAGACAGATTTGTGAATATATACTATATAATGAACACTGTGCTTGATTATTGGAAAATAAATCAGATGGAGGGATTCTGATACCTGAGAAGGAAACAATGAGAAAAGGATAAACAGAACAAGAATAGTTTATGGCCTCTTCTGGAATTTTTATGAGGTGATCACCATATTCTCAGATATATACTTCAGTAGATATATGCTATACATCACAAACAAGAGACCTCATTCCCAATCCAGTGTTAATCTGACAATATCATTCTTTGGTCACACCATCTTAGTTTAGTCATTAACATCTCATGGTCTAAGTGATTTCATTTGGAAAATTGTGATCACAATCTCAACTTCAGATAGTGAATGTGGGCTATCAAATGAGGTCATCTGTGGAAACAATTAATATGGAATCTGGCACATAGAAGCAATTAAACAAATGCATACAGAGTTATTTAATTCTTGATAAGGAGAGATATAGTAAGGAAAAAGTGATTTTTTTCTACCAATTTGTACTGTGTTGTACCCACTTATACCTTCACTCCTGGTGACCTCTCTGCTTTCAGTATTATTAGCATAGTGAGTTATATCATTCCTTTATTTATCAATTACTTATTGTGTATACCATTAGTCCCATTATAAAAAAAAGGGATAGACAAAATGGGTCTCAGAGCCATTGAGTAACTTGTATGAGGACACAGTGAGTGGTTAGGTCATGATGTGAACCAAGAGGAGCTTTCTACCAAATCTGACTCAGTGGTCTTGGTCTTCATCTGAGATTTTGTTTTTGTTTTTGTTTTTTTTTAATCAATGTGGTCATAGACAGAAAGCACTCCCTCACTTTGTAATCTAGATATTGTGCATAGGCCTCAGTGCTTACTTCTTTCATGATCTACAGTAGCTTTTTGAAACATATTTGCTCCTGTATGGATAACTGCAGCTCTCTTGCATTTGGGAGACTTTTTCTGTTTTTAGATCTTGAGTACATCCTCACTGAGTCCCTTTTACAGAAAGTTCAAAGAAATTCATTACATCTAAAGTTTAATGAACAACTATGTATCTGTGAATTCTGAAATTATTTCTTTGCCTCTCAGCTCATATATTCCTTACAAATATCCCTCATGGGAGACACTAACTTTATCCTTATCATAGAGAAGGTGAGAGTGGAATGCACTAGATAAAAAGCTCATGCCACTTAAAAAGACAGGGCTAGAATTTGAACACATTTAGACTCCAGCATTGACAACCTTAATCATGATATGATAATGCCCAGAACTCATTACATCTTTTATAGTTTAATCAATCCTGGTAAAGGCATTTTAGCAGCCTAACTTGAACTACTTTCATCAACTATGATTCCCTTAGATTTATTTGTTAGGTCTCTTTTTCTTGTGACACCAGCAATTGATCTGGCACAAATAGTCTATCTAAAAAAGAATAGATAGTTCTAGAAAGCTGATAACTACTGATGGTATTCACTGCATGAAATGGACTTGACAATGTGATCTAGTAAAGTGCAGAACTTTAAATCATAACTTAGCATGACTTCAAAACCAAAAATAAACCTCAGCCAGACTTGTTCTTTTTAATACCAACTTAATATTCTTGCTCTCTAAGGGAAATGATTTAAACATAGTCTATTTTTAAGTGCAAGCAAGAATTTGTTCATGGCAACTTGGAACTGTGTGCAAGTAAGTGCACTGGAATCACTCTTATCTGAAAAAGTAAGTCTTAAATCACAAGGAAGAAAGAAAAAAGAGCCAGCATGTTCTCTTAGAATACAAATAGAACAGTATGGGTGGGAGCTTTGTCCAAGAACTGGGAAAGACACCTAGCCAGGAATAAATTATGCACTGAGACCTTTAATTTCAAGAAATATTCTCAAGAAATGTTTTAACTGGTAAAGATGACGTTTAGGTTCAAAAAGCACAGAAAAAATATTCCTTATGTATTCTGCTTGAAAAGTTGACTTTCCAAATGTAGGCAGTCAGCATATCCCACTTTTTTTTCTCCTTATAGAAAATGTGGCTCATCGGGATATGCAACTCACAGAAGAAAACTATGTAGATTCCCTCCCCTGTCTCTCTCATGCATATCAATTCATGAAAGAACATAATTTAATATCATGAGATCTGTCAAAACCTTTCCCCAGTTCAAGTATGTACCCTGTATCACTTGGCACACAGGCACTGTAGTCCACTTAGATCCTACTACCATGCAAATTAAAGCTTTCTCACTCAGAATTTAAGGAAAAAGGAATTCCACTTACCATATATTCCATGTTTGCTGCTGGTGGGAACACTTTGCCCCGAACTTGATTATGGTAATCAAGAATGGCGATCATGTCATTCTGCGAAATGTAGCGCTTCCGCCTGGCTTTAGGGATATCCGCAGACTGAAGTGGCGCGCTGAAGGCTGCTTCAGTATCAGTGAAATTATTGGTTGGCGGAGATGAGTCAGTGGAATTGAGTAAGACAACAGTACTTGCTTCACAGAAAAGGGACAAAAGGATCGCAAGGCTGACTGCAGAAACTGCTATCATTTTGAGGGTCACCTGAAGTAGATACCAGGTTTGCTTTGCTTTAAAGCAAAAAAAAAGCATAGAGTCAGGGTCTTTACGAAAACAAGCAAGCAAACAAAACAACAACAACATCAAAAAGAGACATAGTTTATGGATTTACAGCATTATCACTTGGAAGCTTAGCTTGGGTTGACATTCTCCCAAAATCTAAATAAATGTTGCCTGAAAGGGAACCTACCACTGTAGTTTCTACTCATTTTGCTATGCTATGATTCAAACCCCCTAAGATGAACTTTCTAGAGTTAGAGAAAAAGTACACCACGTGACCACTCATCCTAAAATGAATGGAAACCCTTTGCCTCTTGGCCCCAAATGCCTGAACTGCAAGATATATTACTGCATGCCTGTTTCCAGTCAGGAATCTTTAGCAATGCAAGCTGATCTTGAGACAGAAAAGGAAAATCACAGGTAGTCACAGAAAATGTGCAGATAATATGTCCCAGACATTCTGTGAACTTAATGACAGAACACACAAAATCCTAAGAAAATAAAATATGTGAGAAGTTTTAAAATAATGCATGCGTTAGAATCTAGCTGAGCCAAGTAGCTTACCTCTGCAAAATGCCAAAAGGAATACACTGTTCCTCCAACAACTTAAGATTCTTTGTTACGTTGTAGCATGAACCTTGTAAGAGGAGTGTGTCTTATTACAAGCTCCCAGAGAGCAAAAGCCTGTAAGGTTTGAATACTTCTGGCTGCAGAAGCAGCTAACAGCTTTTATATGTCAGTTTGCAAAGTCCAGAAAGGGCAGGCTCTCCTAGGGTCTCTCAGCCAAAATCCAAGGGGAGGGGTTTGAGACAGAGGGGGGAAAAACAGTGATTGGGTGGCAACCTTTTTATGTGGGTGGTGAGGAGATTGAGTCACACCCACAGCTTACAAAGCACAAACCATAAGACACCCCTCCCTCCTTTTCTCTGAACAGCTACCTTTCCTGTGTGGTTCAATTTTCTTTGTTAATGTTCTCTAAGTCCTGTTCCCCATAGCAAAAGGACAAGGAAAGAAAGAAAAAGGGGGAAAATTAACAGATCATGGCTTCTTGAGAACACAGATGGCTGAGTAACAAGCAGTACATCTTTAAAATGGCAGCAAATGACCCAGAAGCTGAAAAAGCAGGCCGATATTAAATCAAGAGATCAACTCACACAGTTAATCTGGGCGGCCGCAAAAATGATTCTGGAGGATGCCAGGCAAGTCAGTAGTGGCCAAACTATAGTCTATGATGTTAGGTAATAGATGCCCCAGTGGTTGTGCTCTCTGTCTCCATGTGGTTTTATTCCTATAATTTATATATTCATTCTCCTCTCATTCCATCTCCCCTCATTTTTTCTTTCTCCAAAACAGCACAGTCAGCAAATTACCTGCTTTATACCTGCCTTGCATAAAATGTGAAACTCGCAGAAAATGACAGCAGCCAAGACAACATCTGTTTCAGGTTTAGTGTCATATAGCTGAAAGTTTAGGCAAAGAGCAGCTGAGCTTACCCAGCAGAGATTAGATAGTACACTGGAGACCATAAAGACCCTAACAGTAGCAACAGCAGCAGCAGCAGCAGCAACCAAAAGGGACTTGCTAAGAAGATGGCACTGAAACAAAATCCATGTCTGGCAAAGGCAGAGACAAGAAAGCAAATGCTATTGTAATCTGTAATGAAAAGATCCACCATAAAGCTATGGGTCATTTTCTCATTAACGAAATACGGGTCGTTTAAAACTGGTCAGAATGGTATTCTGAAAAACATAACCTGAAGAGTGCAGCCTGCTAATGGGACTGACTGTCCCTCTGGTTGTGTCTGCATGATGAGCACCGTGTGAATTCACAGCCATCAAACCAATGAGCATGAGGCAGACTGGACTGGCAGCCAAGTTTCCTAGGATTTGTTCCCAGTCAGATCACCCACAGTCTGTGTGGCCCAATGCATGCCTTTAACCCTTTGTAGGTAATTTTTTAAAAGACAGGAAAAACATATGGACCCCTTGATGAGGCAGGCTTAAGTAGATTTCTGAAGAGGGCAGTTAACCGGCTGAATCAGTGAATTGTGATGAGATAGCAAGGGTAAGCATGAGAGTTCATATTTTGATGAGGACTGAACTCCTAACTAAAGTGAAGTTGCTTTAGGAGGACTCAAGTTGTAATATTCAAAAGCTTCAACAACACATTCATGAGCACAGTAAAACTGAGGAATCCACAGCATACCAAGTACAGAAAGTGATTGGTAGCAACACGGAGCAGAACCCCCCAACCCCCCAGAGAGCATGCTCACATCTTCAAGACTTTAGCTGGAGCTGTCCAATGAGGCTCACAGTCCTTCTGAAAGCCCTGAGGGTGCCTGAGTGATAGCAAAGATTCCTGAATCTCTGTTCCCCAGCCTTTTTGAGAAACTAATGCCAGTTAAGGTTTCTCTAGTTTTTTTCTATTTTTTTAACGTCCCTCAGCTTAGCTGCCCAGCACATAGAGAGGTAAAGAGATTTCAATGACTGAACAGCAAACATGAGCCTTTCTTTCTCCAAGATAGCCGCAGTCTTTCTTAAATCCTCATAAAAACCCAATGATTACATTCAAGATTACCTTCTTTGCCATGTATACAAAGATGCACTGTCCCCCCATTGGAGTTTGGTTTGGGAAAGTTCCAGAGAGAGGACAATATGAACCCTGTGAAATGCCTCCAAACCATAAATGGCTTTCCTCTAAGAAAGAACTGAAGAGTGGAGGAGGAGAAAAGAAGGAGGATTTTTTTTTGTAAATGAACCTAAGTAGGAGATCACCGTTTGGAGCCCAATTATACAAAGGCAAAGCTGATAGTTGCTTCATCCTGAGACCCTGAGGCATGTATGTCAGTGATTTCAGATGTCTTTCAACACACATGGATTGTACTGTGGAATTTTTGACTATTAAGGAAACCCACAAGTCTACAGGACTGTAAGAGAAAGGACCTGTGGAAGGGGAGCTGAGTACTCCACTTCCAAGCAGACATTTGCCAGAAGTATTTGAAATACTTTGGAAGTGATTTTAATTTTAAAATACTTGCAAAATTAAGAGGCATGCATCCAAGTTGTTAGGAAGAGAACTATTAATGAACACTAACAATGAGGCAGTTCTTTTCAGAGCTCTTCTTGAAAAGGACCAGTGATGTCTTTTAAAAACTTTAGGGAACTGTTTGCCAACAGAGACAGAAATGGAAGACAGTTCCATACTGCAAAGAAATACTCAGACATTCAGAAGCACCTTGGAACCTGTGAGGAAGTGGTTGGGATTCTAAAACTGAAATCAAACCCCTTATTGGAGGCCTTGAATGGCACACTGCTCAGTCAAAAGTGTGTATGAATGTGTCTGTGTATACACAGCACATGACTTTATTTCCCTCTTCCTCTTCAAAATCTGTTCCATGCTAGAGACATTAACCTCATCCAGGGAGCATATTAGAAATGCAGAATTTAAGGTATCATCCAAGCCCTTTTAAATTAGAACCTTCCATTTTCCAGGCTCCTCATATTACTGACATGCATATTGAAATGTAAGAAGTACTAACTAGATTCCTTTCTAACAGAAGTGTAAAGACTCAGTCAAACACATACCCAGTTGTCACGACCACCTCGACCAGCAAGGAAGACGCGACTCAGGAATCCTTCTCACAAGCGGTTTATTCAGGAACCTTGATGAACAATGTGGAGGCAGCCGCGGGAGAAACCCCTCCTGCTCCCTAAATAGCCGAGGCCAGCCAACCCTGAGCAGCCACGTGTGCGCAAGCCATAGGCTCACCAGAATGCATAAGCAATCTGATGATGATGGCGTGACCCTGGCGGGATGGGAGCAGGCCAAATAAGGAGTTGTTTATCACTGAGAGCGCTCACGGGCAGGATGGTGTAAGGCGGAAGCCGGCGCCATCTTTAAGGCGCGGCATGGTGCAGCTCTCCACACCCACTGACCAAACAATGGCAAAAGTCCATGTATGCACTCACCAAGAGATTATCAAACACAATGTAAGTATACACATATATCTTTGGAGAGGAGAAAGCAAGTCAACTTCTATTATATATGAAAAATCTGGAAGGGCCTGCCTATAGCTTGTTACATGGAAATCAGTAGTGATCAGAGTCGTTGTAATTACTGTATAAACTGCATTCACTCACACATCCATTCATAACATGCCTATATAAATTAACCTCAATATCATCATCTCCTATTGGTTCAGTCACATTATAACTGATAGTTCTGTCTCTGGTTACCTGCATCCCATCCCTTCTTCTGTGATGGTTAATTTTGGGCCTCAAATTCACTGAATTAAGAAATAGTCAGCTAGCTCTGCAATAAAGGGGAATTCCCAGTGGTACAAATGTAATTAGAAGAAATGAGCCCTTGTGTTATATGTCTATGATGGCATTTTCATGTGACATTGTTACAAGAACTGGTAGCTGTCTGGGAAGTCCCACCCTCAGTGTAACTGGTCACCGGTCAGTCTGCTATAACTCAAAGAGCCTTCTGTCCCACAGGTTCTCAGAACTACTGTTTCCCCAGGCTTTGTGTTCTGTTACTCTCCTTTGGTTCACTTTCTCATCCCCCATACCCTGGCACCTTCAGCTGTGGCCTGTGGGTTACACCATCTGCTTCATCGTCTTGTGGGATTTCAGACCTAAACACAGCCCTGCAACTTATCATGGTTATCCAGCTTGCAGACAAACTACAAAAGAACTTCTCAGTCTCTAAATCAATAGGTCACTTCCATGATAAACCCTCTATGAATCTTATGGATTCTTTCTCCAGAGAACTAAGCATCATTCAGAAAAAAAGAAACTAATGATTTTACTCATCTACACGTAACATGCTATTGTGTCTCCATTGGTCATAGAGTTAAATTCAAGTATTTTACCTGCCTTACAGGTCTTTAAGGATGTAAATAAAAACCTTTTTAATCTAATTTTCTATGGTCATCATTTTTATTTCTGTAGCTCACCATCATTTATGATACAATTACATATAATCACTCCCCTTTTTCTGTTAATGTTACTGAGTTACTAATCCCATGTGAGGCTATGAATTCAGTATGCTGTAGCCTTCTTGACTCAGATAATGTAATTATTGTCTATAACAGTGTACTTTACAGAAATTTAGTCAACAGTAAGATGCCATTGCATTGCTCATTAACTTTAGTTAATAGATTATTATAAATCTCATACTCATGAGCAACTGAGATTTAGTAATATTTTTCACTAAGCTAGCTATTAATTCTCACTAATATCAAGGATGTATATGTAGAGAATAATTTAGGAGAAAGTAAAGACTTTGCAATAATGGCAAAAGGTTTTGGTGTTTAATGCATTAGACATTTCTATTGCAATTTTAAATTTGTTCAATTCAGAAATATGTAAAATAAACTTAGAAAATATTGTCAAATTTTAAGACTTCTGTTTCAATATCATTTATCATACATAATGCAATATATAATTCTATATGTAATAAGGTATGTTAACTTATAAAAATGTGTATTTTATAGGTAGAATATATTTTATAAACTTATCATTAATATTATTAAAATACAATAATAAGAACCAAAATACTTTATTTTCAAAATAATTCAGTCAATAAAATGTATATAAAGTTACATGTATCCATATATGTTACCCAGTGTTATAAAACCTGATTATAGCATCCATATTTTAACCTAGCATTGTCTCTTCTATTTTTCTTATAAAACATGATTATAATTATCATATAATGACATTGTGTAATCTTTCCAACATGTGTGTTTTCATTTTTCCCTCCAGTAAATAAAATTATGTTTTCTATACTAAGGGATAGGTGTAGTATAAGAAACTTATAGTTTTAAGTGTACTTAAGCTTGAACTTTTTCACTGTAAAAAGTCATAAAACATGGTTCTACATCATCCTTTTTAGTCACAAGACATAGCTTGATTCTAAACTAAACAACTCATAGTATACCATAATAAATGCCAGTTGTCTGATAAAACATTGAATGTGAAGGCAGAATAGAACTGTGTGACATGGATGGAAGGAACAGCTGTTGAAAGGGATACTTGTGGGAGTTGTCTACTGGCACAGTGAACGGTCATTCAAGATTAGAAATTCAAGGCCTTCAACATAGTATTTTCAAGGAGGAAAAGCCAAATTGGTAGATTTCATGACATTTATAAGATGCTAGTATTGTATTAGAAATTGTTGTAAGACAATGGGAGCACAATCACTGAATAGTATGTAGCAATATATATATATATATATATGTGTGTGTGTGTGTGTGTGTGTGTGCATGTGTCTGTATGTATAACCTAATAATAGTAATATATCATTAATTAATAACATTTTATTAATTATTAGCTGTAATATACTAATATAATGTACAAAATGTTATTATCAATAATATACTAAGAATTACTGTTATTAATGTATTGTTATTTTATATATGTAAATTAATATTACTAATACAACCCAAATATACTACTCTTTTGGGAAGAAAGAAAGAGTATAAATTTGTACATTTATTGGAGAGTGAGTGGGGTTTGATAGAAAGCCAAATACCTGCCTTCTTCAGCAGACTGTAAGTTATTGACTATTAGATAACGAATTATTCCAAACTTGCAGGTCAAAAAGCCAAGTACTTATTACATTGTGCCATTTTCATGAGATGACTTCAGGAGCCAAACACCTGCTTCAAAGTTTGTCATAAATGGTGCAGTTAAAACAATATGCAGGTGTTAAAAGGCAATGAGACTAGCTTAAGAAACCTCATCCACAAGGATGACCAGAGAAAACATTTCAACACCACTGCATTTGTGTGGCTTCCATGCAAGAGCCAATGTGTGTCTTGTTCTTCACCAAAAGTGTTGTAGTTTCATGTACCACTCTATATAGCTGTTTACTCAGTCTGATAGAACTGAAGCAGGCTTCCTCCCAGAGTAATGAGCCAGGAGAAAGCAAGGAAGGAGATAAAATGTCTTCTATAGCCTAGGTGTCAGCATCTCCACAGCATCCTATTGACTGTGTTAATCACTGTTAATACCATGTGAGAAGAGACAATTCAAGGCCCATCAGTCTTTGGAAACTACTAAGGCTACTTTAAAATATGGCTACTACGGCACAAAGTTTAGAGTAAAAAGAAAAAAAATCACATTTTTTGTTTGTTAGTCAAGAAACATATAGCTTACTTGGAAATACAGAGTTAACCGCTAAAAAGAAAGTTTCTT